TCAACAAACTAAAATTCACACTATCTACAAGGGTATACAAAATTTTGCTTTAAAAATATTTAATAAATTACCGGAAAATTTAAAATCCCTTAATCTAAAAAATATGAAGCTTGCCCTACTGGCAAATCTTGTAAATAAGTATGATTATAGTGTTGACGAATTTTTTATGTAATAAAGATGTACCTATATCATATGTGTGTACGTACGTACAGGCCACGTGGCCTACTTTTTATTGTAATTTATTTAGTTTCTGGCATTTAGGTATCTAAATTGTTATTAATGTTTTTTGTGACGTGTTCTACATTGTATATACAAGTTTTTGAACTAATAAATTAAATAAATTTAACTAATTATTATTATTATTTTTATAAGATTGGTAAAGGCGCTTTATAACTCTATAGAGTTAGAATTTTTTTACTTATTATGCGTTATATTTGACGGGCAGTGTATATAATATATTATGTTTATATACATATAAATATATATATACATACATGTACATGAAACAATGCTAATCATACTAGTCTTTCTTTACCTGTAGAAGCCCGAAGCCAAATCTTTTTATTTTATTATTATATGCCACACTTTAAAAACTATTCATAGAGGGCGACTTGCATTCATAAATTATATTTGTAGTAATATTTTTTCTTAGGACTTCTATCTTGGGGGGGGGTAATTACCCCCATTTCCCCCCCCCCCTTATCGACGCCCTTGGATCTGGATCACATAAGTGAACCGGTTCAGCGAACCGGTTCAAAAGAACCGTTTGAATCTCGAGATCAGATTAATTAATGAAATCATTCGGATCACATAAACTTTATGTTTATGTTAAAAATGTTTATCACTTTAATATTTAGGAGCCTTTATTATATCCAAAAAAATACTATCTTTTTTCACCCATTCTCTTTAATTACAATATTCTTGTAGGCTTCATCTTCATAGTCAAAAATTAAGGGGTATTTTTGAATTTCTTTGACCAAAATTTCATCCTCGTTTGGACTAAGCTTTGCCATTTTTTATCAAACAATCGCAGACGACTGCCTTTAAGCCTTTAAGGTACGGTTTCGTTGATGCGACTCTTAGCCGCGCCACTGCTTAGTACAATTTGTGTGTAGGTATATGTTTTGGTTCAACCAAATTGGTTAAAGGTACGGATTCGTTGATGCGACTCGCGGCTGCGGCTTGCGGCTGCGATCGTAGCCGCTCCACAGCTTAGTACAATTTGTTTGTATATGTTTTGGTTCACCAAAACATATACACAGAAATTGTACTAAGCAGTGGCGCGGCTAAGGTCGCAGCCGCAAGCCGCAGCCGCGAGTCGCATCAACGAAACTGTACCTTAACGCGTTCAGTCGCAGAAGATCACGATTGAGCCTGCTACATAGACCAGTCAGTCAAATCGCAGTCGTCTGCGATTGTTTGATAGAAAAGGGTTAAAAGATCGCTTTTCTAGTTATTTGTACAGGGCTCTCAAATGTCCTAAAAGTCCTAAAATTCAGCATTCTGTCCTAAATGTCCTATAAAATTGGTCTGAAATGTCCTAAAATTTGTCATTTTTTGTTTTGTTAATATTTAAAATTGCCCCATAAACCACCTAGTACATGATTTCGCCATGATTAAAACACCAAAACATCAGTTTGTTGGATGATCAAATTGACTTCTATCAACACAAAATTAACAATTTGGACCGTCTAATTTTAAAGGGAAATGTGAATATCGGAAAACTATTGAATACTGTAAAGAAGGCAAATAATAAATAGGACCTATAGAGTAAAGGTTACTGTAGTAAAACTAAGCACCAAAGAAAAGGAACTGCTCTGTGAATTAAAGCTTAAAAAAAAGAAAAAAACGACTTATTAAATCCAAAACATCCAAGACATATAAAATTTTTTAGTTTTCTTTTAACAATATTGAATAATTTTTGTTTTATTTTAATACGTATACTTTAGGATAAAAAGTAGATTTTTTATTTTGTTTTTGTTATCCAATGAATAATTTATTTTTATCTAATAAAACGTTTAAATTTGTATTCAAATTTGTTTAAATTGTCCTAAAATCCTAAAAATAGGACTTAAGAATTCGCTGGGAGCCATGTTTGTAAAACCAGGTATTTAAAACTAAGTAAAATCGCATAAAACTTGACGCATCAACGAAAACACTCAATATTGCGGCTGCGACTGCGATCAATCGCAGTCGCAAGCCGCAGTCGTTCGAGTCGCATCAAAGAAACCGTACTAGTGTCTCTAGTACGGTTTCGTTCATAGAAAAAGGTTTCGTTGATGCGACTCAAACGACTGCGGCTTGCGACTGCGATTGATCGCAGTCGCAGCCGCAATATTAGGTTTCGTGAAATATTAGGGTTCGTGAAATGAACGATTAAGGTACGGATTCGTTGATGCGACTCGCGGCTTGCGGCTGTGATCGTAGCCGCTCCACTGCTTAGTACAATTTGTTTGTATATGTTTTGGTTGACGCGTTCAGTCGCAGACTGCGACTGAACGCGCCGACCAAAACGTATACACACAAATTGTACTAAGCAGTGGCGCGGCTAAGGTCGCAGCCGCAAGCCGCAGCCGCGAGTCGCATCAACGAATCTGTACCTTTAAGAACTGTCAGAATCATGCGCATTACGAAATTTGCGTTTGGGTTTTTTTAGAACCAGTTTGGAACTGGTGAATATGGTGTTTTGGTTTCTTTTGTGGACGATTCAGGACTAGTTCAGAACCGTTCAAACTAATACGAGCTCAGAGTGCGTACTCTTTAGAACAGTTTTCGTGGTGCCTGCGCATTGGACTTTTACGTTTTAATTTATGTTTAAATATATATATTTAAACATAAATTAAAACGTAAAAGTCCAATGCACAGGCACCACGAAAACTGTTCTAAAGAGTACGCACTCTGTGTATACACAACCAAACTTAGTTATATGGAATCACCCAGTAATTACGAGAAACAGTATTTAAATGTGAAAAATGTGATTTTAATACAAAAAGCAGTTTATCCAAACCCATTTTATTACAAAAATAAATGAAACATTATTCAAACAAGTTTCATATAGAACAAATAACAAAAAATGAAAATTTCTCTGAAAATAAACTTTACTGTAATTTGGAATTTAAGAAAAAATATAATGTTTTTGCTAATTTAATAATCAGTGTTGCCACCTCTAGCGTCAATGCAAGCACGAATTCGACGAGGCGTGCTTTCTATTAAGTTACTAACTTCTTCTTGGGGGACATTTTCCCATTCCTCGAAAGCTGCCTCTATTAATTGGTCAGAGTTACCAGGGTTATTTTAACGAGGTCTAAACCTTCTTTTAACCATATCCCACAGGTGCTCAATTGTATTAAGATCCGGTGAACAAGAAGGCCAATCTAAAACAGTTACACCTTCCATTTCTAAATAATTTTTAGCAACTCTGCTGGTATGTGGAGGTGCATTATCCTGCATAAATAAAAAAACAATCGCCAAAAGCACCTCTCCAGGGCCATATTACAGGTTCTAGCACTAAATCCTCATACCTTGGACCTGTTATAACATGCATCATGCATCATGATTGGCAAAAAAACGCCTTTGATACCCATTAGACAAACCCTATAGGGTTTGGTTTATTTTGCACTCTTAGTTGTGGAACCCTTAACTGTCTTCTGCTGAATAATTGTCGAGCGCGAAGTCTTTTCCTGACAGTTTCGACCGAAACACCTGTAGCTTGCAAAAGTTGTATTTGAAGCTCGGGATGAGATGTTGTGGGATTTCTTCTTGCTACTTGTGCTAAAAATCGGTCCTGGCCTTCTGTAGTGACTTTTTTTTCTCCTCGGCCTATTTTTTAGGGTTCCTAACTCCAGGAACATTAAAAATGTTTTTGAAACAACCCCCTGTGTAACCCCCACCGTTCGTGCAATTTTTCTTTGCGACATGCTCTGTTCCGACCTACTTTATCTCTGGTTCCGACAGAGCAATAATTCTACCCCTCTGGACTTCTGATAACCCCACATAAGGCATGTTTAATACAATTTACAAAAAGAGGCAATTTTACCTCACTAACGCTTTAAATCGAAATAATGAAATTGACTCTGAATCTTAAGACGTATTTAATAATCAAACGGTTTTTGTTAATAAAAAAAATCCTATTTTATTCGCTTGTAATTTTTTTTCACGAAAAACAATTGTTTCTTGTAAATACTGGGTGATTCCATATAAGTTTGGTTATACTTATAGCGTTGAGTGATTTAATCAATGCTTATAGGTTAGGTGCTTTTATTTTGGTTTTTCGCATTTAAACATGTCCGAGCACAAAATACCTTTGATTAATTTTTTTTATGAAAGTTAAGACTCATAATAATAATAATAATAGTAATGTTTATTGTGGAAAGAAAGAATTCGTACCTTAAGGTACATTTCACAATTGGCAAGAGTTCGGCAAAGCCGATCTTCCACTCTCCCATATATATACATATGTATATATATACATATGTAACATTTTAAGTACAATAACTAAATTATTTTTAGAGCAATATAATACATAAACAAAATCTTATAACAATATAAAAAATAAAAAAATATTAAAAATAAACAACAATTTCAAATTCATTATTCTTAATCTAATGGTTAATCCGTCAATAAAGATATTTATTTATTTATTTATTTATTTATTTATTTATTTATTTATTTATTTATTTATTTATTTATTTATTTATTTATTTATTTATTTAAATTAATGTCTAACACCCCGCCCACCCAACCAATCCCTTAAGGGATAATTGTCTATGATGTCTACAAACTACAAACTTTGTACAAGCGACACCTACATGGAGTTTTGAAAACCACCGTAAGCGTTTTGATTTTTCAATATTTTACAAAAAATCCAGAACGGTTTAGAACCTAAAACTACTGCGACTACAGTTCTGCGCAATCTTTAAACAGTTCAGATTCTGTGGTTCGTACAATTCTGAACCATTCTGAACAATTCTGAACCACAGATTATAAAGGTACGAACAAACCTATTGAGTGTTTTCGTTGATGCGTCAAGATTCTCGACAAAAAAGTTGGCAACGCTGATAGGTGACGTTTGTAAAGTTTGTGACGTGTCTATGAAGAATACCGAAAATGAAGTCCTTAATATTTCTGTTGTTTTGTATAATTGTTAAAATTAATGCTCAGGGAAATACATTAGTTTTATTGGACAACCAAGTTATTCGGGAAACCCATTCAATATTTTTTAAATCATTACAAGGCACTGTTTGAGGTTATATTTTACCCGGTAAATCCATAATGAGTGTTTTCTTACAGATAGAGGTCATACATTAACATTTAAAATAGCAGACGATTCTTCTCTAGTTTTATCCAAATATGGCGAATATCTCTACGAAAATTTGATAATTTTTGCTCCTACTATAGAGGAATTTGGTGGTAACTTGAGCGTAGATACTGTTACCCAGTTTATTGATGATGGCGGTAATGTTTTAATTGCTGGAAATAGTGTTACTGGGGATGTCTTAAGAGAATTAGCCTCTGAATGTGGTTTTGAAGTGAGTATTTTTGTTTTTAATTAAGTTAAAATACTAAACATTTATATCTTTAAAGGTTGATGAAGAGGGTTCATTTGTTATTGATCATCTAAACTTTGATGCATCAGATGAAGGGCGACACACCAAATTGGCACTCAGCTCAGAAAACCTAATTGATGCTTCAGTTATTGTCGGCAATAAAAAAAGTATCAAACCTTTGTTGTACCAGGGAACTGGAATTTTGACTGATTCTGAAAATCCATTGGTTTTACCTTTGTTAATTGCTGACAGTACTTCTTACAGTTACAACCCTGATCAACCAATCAAAGAGGTAAAACTTATTAAATGATCTTTATTATATTAATGTTTGCTTTTCAGTATCCCCATGCTGTTGGTAAAGATACAGTTTTAGTTGCTGGTTTACAAGCTAGAAATAATGCTCGTGTGGTATTTTCTGGATCCTTGGCATTCTTCTCTGATGAATACTTTACATCTGCTGTCTCCAGAAAACAAGTACCTTTGCTTTAATTTTAAAAATTATAAAATTGGTTTAATTGTATTTATTAATTTAAGGGTAACTTAAAATCAGACAAATCCGGAAATGACGAGGTTTCAACTGCCATTACTCAATGGGTATTTAAAGAACATGGTCAGTTAAGAGTAAAATCTGTAACTCATCACAAGGAGGGTGAAAAGGCTCCACCACAAGATTATACCATTATGGAAAATGTGGTAAGTTATTATAATATGGTTTGTTAAGATAATGGAAAAAAAGTGTTGTTATATGCATCCCATTTATAAATGGTTAAGTCAGTAGATTAATATAATTGTATCAAGAATAGTACAAGTCCAAAATTTTTATTTTATTAAATTATTTTTATAGTTTAAAATGCATTTTTGTGAGAATGTGTCAACTATTGTACAAAATATGGTTATTATTAGGGATGCACCGGAATTCCGGCGGTACCACTAAATCCGGCCAGTTGGCCGGAACTACCGTTCCGGCCGGATCGCTTTCCAGGTATTTTGTAATTGGTCAATAGTGAAGGGTGTCCGTGTTTCCTTGCCTAGGATAGACCGGGGGCTGTGGTTCCCCGACTTCTTTTTAATTTTTTTTTATTATTGGCAGGTGGCTGCTATTCTCCAATTGAATGAGTAGAATTGTTTTAATTAAAAATTAATATTTAAATAAACAGTAATTTCTATCTAGGTAAAATTAATAGTAATAAACACTCTGCATACTGTAGCTAGTTTAAAAATGTAAAAATAAATCAGCCTCAATATTTTACGTATAAAAATAGGCATGCACATACATTTAAATTTAGGTCCCGATCCGGCCGGAATTCCGGCGATCCGGTCCGGCCAGCGGCCGAAATTCCGGTACCGGTCGGATCGGCAAAATACCCGATCCGGTGCATCCCTAGTTATTATATTTTATAAAATAGTTAAAATATTCTCACAAACTAAAAAAATGATTTTAACTTGTAAACAATTTAAATTTTGGACTTGACTTACCGATTCAATTTGTCCTATTCTTATTGCAGATTATTGAAATTATTCGATTTTTTTCTATATAATGGTAACCATTATAACCGCCCCGTCTAACAACGGGAATAATGAAGTCATTATTCACGTTATGTGGCATCAGTTATTGGCTGATTTCAATTTTTACTGTTAATTGAACCAATTGGGTTTTTAATTGGAAAATGTGAAGTTGGAACTTTCCAACAGATTTCAGTTTTTTTTATATATACAAGGGGCGACTGTAATGATCATTAAAATCGGGAGTAAGTGGTTATAATAAATGTTAATAATGATAATTATACTTAATTAGAGTAGAAAAAGCATAGTAATACGTTATTATTAATATTCATAATATACTAAAAATTAACTTATTATTAAAACATAATAATTATACATTTATTTATAATTATTTTTTGATTGCATCTGACAATAATAATAAATGTCAAAATGTAATAGTTCTCCAGAATATTTCTTAAACTGGCAAGCCCTACAGGCTCTTGTTGCTAGGGCCAGACAAGATTTCAAAATATCTGTCAAATTATTTTCAATTTATTGTCACTCTCTTGTGATATTAATAATAAAATAATATATTTAAATTACTTATTTATTACTTTATTTTTATTGGTTGCCTTAATTTTGAATATTTTAATACAAAATTAAATTTATATGTATTAAAAACTAAAAAATATTAGCATGTAAATTGCAAAGTTGTACAAAGAATTTTGATTTATTTCTGTATAATTTACATTTTAACGCATTTTAAATATTTAAAACAGTTATAAACTAATCCAAAATAATTTTTAATTTTTTGTTTGTTTTTATTATGATTTTTATAAGTATTGATTTAATAGCGTCAGAAAAGTTGTGCATGTAGAAAAAATATTTAAATTTCCGAAAATTTCATTCTTAATAAAGTTTTTGCTCGATTTTAAAGCCCCAGAATATGCAACCCATAGTTTTTATTTTGTCTATGGGGACATCCATTAATTATGTGAAACAAATATGGGGGGGAGGGGTCCAGCAAAATCTCAATTTAAGGGAGGGGGGTCATTTAAAATCTCACATCAACTTTTGAGTTTAAAAAGTATGTATTATAATTCAACTTTGATAAAAAAAAATCATTTTTTTACATGTTGTCTGCAAAGAGTTTAATTGCCAAAATCTCGTGATGGATAGGGGGGGTCTACCACATCTCACCAAGGGGGAGGAGGGTCCAAATTATTAGAAAAATCCCTCATGTAATTAATGGATATTCCCTATGGTTAATTTGCAATTATTCTGAACATTTTGGAAGGAAAATTTTTTGATAAAAAATATGTATTAAGTTTACAGTGGTTCCATAAGGAAAGGATATCTTTAGTTTGGATCTTATTATTTCTTTTACATGCACAATAATTATTATACTATACTTATTTTTAGAAAAGGAATCGGAAAGTTTCCATTTTAAGGAAACTTTCCGTTTTGGAAAGTTTCCAATTGGGAATTTATTTTTATTTTGAAAGTTTCTTTTAAGCTACCGGAAACATTCCTTGGAAACTTTCCTTGTTTTTTTCATTTAAATGTCAATTGTTTAACCGCTGATTTTCGTTAAGGCCATGATACAAGGCCAAGAAACTTTGAATAAGAATTTATGGTGGATTTATGAAGCACAAATTAACATTAAGATTAACTTTAACATTAACATTAAGATTAATTTAACATTAATAGGAGGGTATTTATGCAGCAAAATTAGTAGCAAATTAAGCATGCGTAGGTATAAGCTAAAGTAATTTTGACATCTGGCATTTTTGGTTTGTTTGAATTTTGTTTTAATCCCGTTTTAGCATCTGTTAAGTAAAATAAATGAAAACTATAAACTCCACGTCAAACAATAAACCAAAGAACACAATCATTGAATAAAAAATCAATCATTCAGCAGTAAATTTCATTTATTTTCGGGTATGTTGGCATTACTGACACGGTTTATTTAAAAATTGCGCAGAAGGAATAAAAATTAACATTATCATTAAGAAGATAAAAGTTGGCCATCTCTTAATGTTAACTTAATGCTAAAGTTAATGTGTTGCATAAAAGCTTCCAATGGATTACGTTCATTTAACTTCTTAATCTTAATGTTAACTTAATGTTAATTTGTGCTGCATAAATCCAGCATTAATGTGTGTTAATTTAAAGCAGAAGAAGTATAAATAATGTAAGTTATCCTTTTTCTATGGTTATGTTACATAACCTCAATGAAGCCGAATTATTCAGCATCGTCACAAAAAACTTTTTTAAGAAAAGGTAAACAAAATAAAAACAATAAACAAAGTTAAAATCATTCTTACATTTTTGTTGTTTATTTATAGGCATAGCACAATGCCAAGAAAAAAATCTAGTTTTTGGAATTATTTTTTACTTTACTTTTTACTTTTCAATATTCCTATATATTAGTTACTTTGTCCCTTTTAATTTTTTTACGTAATATCTAGGATTTACTAGCAGTGAATTTCTAATGGTAAAACTTTTATTTTTATTTTGTAGGTTTCAGTATACAATAGGAATATTCCAAAGTAAAAGATACTAAAAATAGTATTGCATTTTTTTTCCTAATAAAATTTGACAAAAAGTTAATGTGTTATATATTTTTGCAAATCCCTGACATAAAAAAAATATTTTCGCAATAAAAATTTTTTTTTTTAACTTTCGGAAAATTTCGGGAATTTTCGATGGAAAGTTTCCGGGAATTTTCGTCAAATGGGAATTTTCCCATCTCTACTTATTTTATATTTATTCTAATTTTTGAAGATTTAGTTTTTTTTTAAATTACTAAATTAAAAATAATTATAAAAACACATTTTTTTTTAAATTTCGTTTTAAGGTATATACAATTGAAATTGATATTTTGGAAAAAGGCCAATGGAAACCATTTACCGCCAATGACATTCAATTGGAATTTGTAAGAATCGACCCATTTGTTCGCACCACCTTACAACGTAAACCAAATGGCCAATATGAAGCTAAATTTAAAATTCCAGATGTTTATGGTGTATACCAATTCAAAGTAGATTATGACAGAATTGGTTATACAAGATTGTTTAGCACCACCCAGGTGTCTGTAAGACCTTTAGAGCACACCCAATATGAAAGATTTATTTCTTGTGCTTATCCGTACTATGCTGGAGCATTTTCCATGATGTTTGGTGTATTTATATTTTCAATTGTGTTTTTGCACATAAAAGAAGATGATAAAAAGTCAAAGAGTGATTAGGTTAAAGTTTTTGTTAATTTGTGAGCCACTATATTTATGCTTGTACTTTTTTAATAAATTAGGTACTACATAAATAATTGTTTTATTTAAATTTAAGTCAAAATTACATAATACATTATAAGAATATTAATTTTTTTCCAATTTTAAAAAACCTGATGTGTTTGAAAAATATTTAGCATTAGCTTCATTAATTTTAACTTCAGCTGCTTGTGGGTTTACTATTTCCAATCCCTATTAAACAAAACATTAAATAAGAAATATTTTTTGAGTAATTTAGTTATATACCTGTAAGGGTGTAAATGCAACACTAGATGCTGTACCAGATATTTGTTTTTTAACAGTGGTACTCCCTCCCCAAATCTGTTGTTTTTGAAGATTTCTTTGCAAGGTTTTTGATATTCTTACTTTTGTTTTTTCATCTACTTGAGGCAATCTTATTCTACCAGTACCAGCTTTTCCTATTGTGCCTCTAGTGTACCCCAAATCTTCTTGATAAGCATCATCCTCAATCTAAACAAATAAATTAAATATTAATAAATGATCTTTTAGAAGAGCATAATTTAAAAAAAAATCTTACATCTGCAAAGTTCATTCTATTGGCATGTTTCCTAAATTCAGTCATGGCATATCTTTCCTTCATTTTTCTTACTCTCTTTCCTCCACGTTTTTTCTTAGACTGGTCAATAGGTTTTGGCAATGGTTTTATGAATTTTACTGGAGGGGGTTCCAGTAATTTATCCAATTTTCTTTCTATTTCATCCCTTAGTTGTCTACCAATTCTGCCATCTGAACTTTCATGACAAGCATCTACTCTAGCTGCAAGAGTACATTTTGTCACAACCAGTCTTGCTGCTTTACGCCTTAAATCCTAAAAAAACTATAGTCAAAACTTGACAAAATAAAAAGATAATTATTTAAATGAAAATCAAAGAAATTCAACAAATTGCGTAAATTATAATATTAGAATAGTAGCGCCTCAAATGCTGTACATGCATATAGTACCAAGAAAAGGCAAAAAGGAGAGTAACTCCTTTTTGCCTTTTCTTATACTACGCTAAAATTAAACAACTTACTGGGGGGGTATTTTGAACAATCTCAGAATAATAAACAAATCCAGTATGGGGTAGCATGTGTGTTTGGGAAAACCCAGACAAAGTTTTCTTCTGCTGACCCAATAATTGTACATTACAAGCAGGGATTTTTGATAACCTTGTTAATCCACCAGCAACGCCCATTATTTTAGCTGCAATGGATGCTCCAAGAATTATTGAAATATTTGGAGCTATAAAAGCCATTCTACTTTCTACATACTCGTAAATTTTCAGCTTAAAGTTATTTAATTCTATTGCCATGTCACATGCCTCATTAATTTGGGCCTTTTCTGTTTCTGACAACATTGTTCTGCAAAAATATAAAAAAAAAGTATTTGTTTGGTATTAATTAGGGGTTATCCCTTATCAATTCTTTTGTTTTTAAAATACTAAGTATCTTCAAAATTTATGATGCTATGAATAAAATTTTAAAACAGTTAATACAATAATTGTAGCCTTTAAATAATAAATCACTCAAATTAATAATAGATTGGTCACATTAATATTATTTTTTATCTTACCCCTGTGTGGTGGATGCAGTTACAGAAACAACCATAATAGTGGCTTGTGTTAAAAATTGTTGCAGTATTTCATTATTTTTAGCTTGATCCAAATCATTCCCTAACTCTTTAACAGTTCTAACATATTCCAATGGTCCTACAACTAAAGAATCCAACTCTGGAAACCTTTTTTGGTATTTATCTCTAGCAAACTTATGAATTGTAGCTAAAATTTAAAATTATATTATAAAAAAAATATCAGTGTATTAGGTATTAGAGTAGGTGTCCCTAAACTTATTGGCATAAATTTAGGAAAAGATTGAGCAAGTCAAAATAAGACAAAAACCTAAATAAATATTTTTCCTAATTACTTATGTTTCCAAGATACAGGGTGATAAAGTGTTACCTATCATATCAGTTTTTTTAATATAACTTCTACTATGGTAATCTTGGAAACGTGATATTTTGCGAACAGTGACTTACAACCAAAACTCATATTCACACATAATTACAATTGTTTGAGTGAAGACAGTGTCTAGAAACGGGGGTTGCTTTAAGCTTATTGTCCCATACAAACTTTGAGGTTAGGTTTTTATAACATTTGATACAATTTTTCGATTACTTAGTTCGTCTACCATTAAAAAGGTAAAACTTCGATAAAATAAACCGTTTCCGATTACAATACTTGTTATATCGCATTATTTAAAAGGATTAAAAGGTATATGATAACAAATTTTATTTTTTAATTGAATAAACTAAAAAGGGCATTCCATGAGCATGAGACTTCTTGCCATGACCGTCACATTAAAAAAAAATTGTAGTTTTTCAATTAAAAAATTTGTTATCATACCTTTTAGTCCTTTAATGCGATATAACAATTATTGTAATCTCGGATATCTCGGAAACGGTTTATTTTATCGAAGTTTGAGAGGTACACCTTTTTAATAGTAGCCGAACTGAGTAATCGAAAAATTGCATCAAATGGTATAAAAACCTAACCTCAAAGTTTGTATGGGACAATAAGCTTAAGCAACCCCTGTTTCTACGACACTGCGTTTACTCGAACAATTGTAATTATGTGTGAATATGTGTTTTGGTAGTAAGTGACTGTTCGCAAAATATCACCTTTCCAAGTCTACCATAGTGGAAGTTATATTAAAAAAACTGATAGGATAAGTAACACTTTATCACCCTGTATCTTTTAAATATACCTAATTAGGAAAAATATTTATTTAGATTTTCGTCTTATTTTGACTTGCTTAATCTGCTCCTAAATTTATGCCACTAAGTTTAGGGACACCTTGTATAATAACAAGAGAAGCTAAATGTTGCTATAATACTTTTTTGCTTAATTTTTTTTATTTTTCATCGAAATTTCTTTACCAATATTTAATAAAATTTTATTTGAATATAAAAAATATTGTATGGGTTAGATTTTTAGAATATTATTTTGAAGACATTTTTTTATTATTACTATGTACAGTGTGATCCCCTATAATGTCGCCCCCCTTTGACTTCTTTATTTTAAGTGCCTCAAAAAATTTAAAAGTGTGGTTATGTACTAAAAAATAATGTTTTTCCACGTATAAAAAAAGGATCAATATACAGGGAAGAACAAAAAGTTTATTTTTTTTCAATGGATCACCCTATACAGGGTGTCTCACCAGCGATGGGACCTTAGACTTTTACGGAGAACGGCTGAGGATATCAATTTGAAATTTTTATAGCAATTATTGAACAATTTAATCTACCTTTTAAAATTATTTTAAATAAAATTCCTCTTCCGGTTTAACCGGAAGCGACATCAACTTTGTTATTTCCAATGGAACACCCTGTAAATTTTTTTATTTTTAAATTCCTCATGAAATTCTTAATGAAATTGCTGTACCTAAACTTAAAAGTTTTCGAGTTAATAATTTTTTTCGTAAAATTTTGACAGTTGCACCTTCATTAAAAATTGCTTATAACTTTTTTGATATTCGGTTTGCTCGTCAGCCATTCCAGAGAATTTGAAACTAAGCAGCACAATTTAAAATTGTTTATATGCAATACCTTTAATATGAAATATTGTGCACGTAGTCTATATTTTACATATCTAATATAAAAATAATATATTTTCCATTATTAGGCCCTTAAAACAATATTTTACTTAATGCGAACGCATCCCAAAAAAATGAATCAAAACATAAGTTATTTAGCAGGCTATTGTTCAGTGATTATGCCATTTATTATACAACTGTCATTATTTTATTTCATTAAAATATTAATTATCAGAGTGTTTGGTGACGATTTTGTAAATCAAAATGGGTAAGTAGTATTTTTTTATTAACTTTATTTATTTTATGTTGTTAGTGTAGCGTCCGTCATCAAAAAGATGTAATACTTAATATTTCTTAATGAAGATAAATAATTTTTGACTAAATTATTTATTTTTAAAAACACACATTTTGCCTCTTGTCAGTATATTAAGCTTTTTTAGATATGTCAAGAATCTAATTTTTTTTTAAATTAAACTTTTATGTAGCGTCCGTAAGCAAAAAATATTTAAGTAATATTTTTTTAGATTTTTCATTTATCTTGTTTTACGGTTAAATTAGACTAAATTAAAAACACACAAATGCTCATTCTAACCTTGTTTAAAGATTTTTCGAGAGATTTTTATACCGGTGGAATATTTTTTACAGATCAAAAGGATTAAACAAAACAGAATTGCCGCGCAACGTTATCGAGAAAAAATTGAAAAGTGACGAAATTACAAGAATTGCACTTTTAAAAAAAGATGCCGAAGGAAAAAAAGTTTAAAGAGTAAAGAAAAAAGAAAAGTTGCAGTTTGATAGTCATTTACGAAAAATTGAGAAATTAAAAGTTACTGAAAGAATGAGGCGTTACAGATCAAAGATTTAACAAATGAGACAAAATATTGAGCAGTCTTATAGTCCTTACAGATGTCCTCAAACGTTGGGTAAAGCTTTAAAAAAAGTTAAAAATACTTACCAGGAGGTCCTCGTAAAAGAAAAATTGTAGTGCAGAAGTTAGTTTTACAAACTATCCCCGAAAAGTTGCGTGACGAGAAGCCCACAATAATTCATGGACTTACTACATCTACTGAAGATGTTAGACTTGTCAATATTTTTTACCTACGTGATGATGTTAGCAGACAGGCCCCAGGAAAGAGAGACACAATAAGTGTCAAAAATTCAATTACTGGTAAGAGAGAATCGTAACAAAAAAGACATGTTATAATGGCGATTAAGGAGGCATTTACACTATTTAAGCAAGAATTCCCAGATACAAATATTCAGATTACTAAATTTTACCAGTTGCTCCCCAAGCACGTTCTGTTATCATCACAAATGTTTGTGCTGAGGATGTTGAAAATATAAAAGAGATGCTGGATAAAAAGTGGGCTAATGTTAAGAAGATTCCTTTTATCTAATCAAAACACTTTTTTATGAAATTAAGCTCCAATTCGTTGCAAACCGC